GGATGAGTCTCCCCCATCCCCCCCGCCCTCCCTCTGGCCCCCCAGCATCACCAGGCCCCCCGGTGCCTGGGAATAACTGTGGCCAACCCTGCAATGCAGCCACTTCTGGGGTGGGACGTGGCCGCGGATTAGCCGCCGTGTGGAGACGTGACCCTTCGGTTTAGGGCAGGACGTGGGGGCGAAGGCGTGTCCGGGCAGGAAAGACAATCAGAATGGAGCCTAACACCAGAGTGCCCACCGCGAGTCACGTGACGGCGGAAAGTAGCCAATCAGACGGCACCAACAGGAAGCTGCCTGCTGTACCCCTTTGGTACCCAGGGGATACGCCCCGGGAAGCCTCAACCCTACCACGACAGACCCGGACGGGTCTCACCTTCCACAGCAGCAGCAGGCTGGGCTGTCCGGGCTCCGGGGGGCCGGCCGCTTGCCACACGTCCACCAGGCCCTGCGGGGCTGAGGGCGACAGAGAAGCTGGGATCACTCGGGGGGGGGGAGGGTGAGCAGGGCAGGACAGGGGCTGTGGGGAAAGGGGCTTTCCTGGATCCATGCAGGGTCCTTCCCCGACTGCCCAGGCCAGGCCTCTGCATTGAGCACTGCAGCGAGACAGTTAAGAGTTGTCCCCGTTTAACGGAGAGGGAAACTGAGGCACGGCGCCATGGAGGAGTCACCTGCACAAGCTCACGTGGCAAGTCAGTGGCAGAGAACCTAACCAGGTAGCGGCTCCGACCACTAGACATCACTCCTTTGCCAGGGCTGGGAATAGAACCCAGCAGGCCTGACACCCAGTATTTTCATCTTCCTCCCCTCGCTAGCAGATCCCACGCCCCTCCTGCTGCCTCCTCATCACCGTCCTCGGGGGTCCGGAAGGTCAGGGGCGGGCTCCAGTCGCTCCAGAAGCCCTTCCGGTCCTCAGGGATGCAGCGAATCTGCGCCTCGTAGGCCGAGAAAGGCTCCAGGCTGGAGAACTCGTAGCTGTTCGGCTCCATGTCCTCCTCGTGCACCTGCCAGGGAGAACGGCACAGAGAGAGATGGGGCCACGGGGCTCTGGGTCCTCGGGGGTCCGGAAGGTCAGGGGCGGGCTCCAGTCGCTCCAGAAGCCCTTCCGGTCCTCAGGGATGCAGCGAATCTGCGCCTCGTAGGCCGAGAAAGGCTCCAGGCTGGAGAACTCGTAGCTGTTCGGCTCCATGTCCTCCTCGTGCACCTGCCAGGGAGAACGGCACAGAGAGAGATGGGGCCACGGGGCTCTGGGGACCCTCTCGCAGGTGGGAGGGAAGCAGGGCCCAGGGGTTAAAGCAGGAATCTTGGAGCCAGGATTCTTGGGTGCTGTCCCCAGCTCTAGGAGGGGAGTGGGGTCTAGTGGGTAGGGCAGCGGGGAGCCAGGACTTCTGGGAGGAGCAGGGTCCATGGGCAGGCCCGGGAGCCATTCAGCAGCTGACCTGTGCGCCAGAGCCAGCCTACTGGAATTGTCAGGCGACCAGCGGCTCCCCATTGGTGGGCTAGAGGAGTCAGGGACCTGCGCCGCTTGAGTTGGCAGCGGTAGTAGGCTGCTATCCCAGAGGAAGGGCCCTCCCCCTCCTGTCACGCAGGCTCACCCTGGTCCAGTTGGGGGCCCCAGACATCCGGTAGCGAAGGTCGCAGGCCAGGCCCAGGGGGGAATGCTGCGGCCAACGGGGGTTTGTCCAGTTCACTGTGACCACAGGGGTGAGCTCCACTAGGCCCAATTCGGGGGGCTCTGGCTTCACTGGAACCGTCCCAGAGGAAGGGCCCTCCCCCTCCTGTCACGCAGGCTCACCCTGGTCCAGTTGGGGGCCCCAGACATCCGGTAGCGAAGGTCGCAGGCCAGGCCCAGGGGGGAATGCTGCGGCCAACGGGGGTTTGTCCAGTTCACTGTGACCACAGGGGTGAGCTCCACTAGGCCCAATTCGGGGGGCTCTGGCTTCACTGGAACCGACACAATAGATCAAGGCAAAGCAGGCGCCAGGCGCCCCGGCTGTCGTGTC